ATTACTTCAGAATTAAGTCTGATAAATGTCTTAATACTTTATCAGTACTGTAGGCGCTCTTCATATAAAAATAATATCCTCATCTTGTACTTTTGGTCTGCCAGGCTGTTGGCTCCAGCAGTTTTTTATTACTTTCACATACAACATAATTATTTTCAAGTAGATTTTCATTATTAGGACTCCAGGGATCTGCTGATTCTGGAGGGGTCAAATAGGCTGATCTACAGAAAAATAAATCATTAAAAGCTTGAGATTAACTTTCTGTTGCATTTTAATCTAAATTTGAATAACAGTATTTTTTAAAATTGTTTTCTGTCTCTTCAAAAAAACAAAACAATGTCCAGGTGATGTGGACAAATTTCCTCGATGCAGCATGTCAAATTAAAGATTAAAACAACTGTAAAAATCTGCATCTGATGGAATTTATCACAGCATAAATTATAGGTTGTGGTTTTGCCTGCAATATTTGAACAATCTCAAAAATAATTCCCCGGCGGGTGAATCCATTTTAGGATTATCTTTGTTCCTAAGCAGAGAGCAGAGATTTCTGGGAAAAGATCAAAGCTAAATTTTTATATATGCATTCTTTATCAAACAGCATCTACGACCCTTTGTCAACTTTTAATCTAATGTCACGACTACCTATGAATATATTTAAACCATGTGCAGTTAACCTGTTGCCAAAAATAAATCCATATTTAAATCCATGCCACCACACCTTAAAAAGCCAGCAGAGTTCTGAGATTTTTTTCAAATACTAATGACTATGGCTTAGAGGAAAGTAAAACCTAGAATTCACTCTCTGAATAGTAAAATATAATGGACTAATGTTACTACTTTGTAAAGTCTTTCAAGTTTCTGAAAAGTGCTACACAAATCTGATGTCATTTCAAAGAAAAAGTAGCTTTTTAACACAAATATTGAGTTATGTCCCATGTGATCATTGGGTGGACGGTGACTTGACTGTTGTCTGGCAGACATTCACAGGCTCCTTCCACAAGGTAAGAGATAAAACAAATTAAAGAAATTAAGTTTATAGAAAAGTTTAGTGGAAGGACAAAAGGTGCACAAGCAGTCATGATAAGTTGGCATGCATTGGTGTAGTATAATTCTCAGAGTTCCAGGACATGTGAAAGTTTTTTTCAAAAGGGCAGGTCTTTTATTTTAAAAATGTTTAAACTTTTGTTGCCTGAATTGGACGTATCAGACTTATATATTATCACTGAGACTGTCATCTCTTCAAGAGATGACAACACCAACCTGTGAAGCGTTTCGGTAACGTTTTGAAACTCATTGTCGACTGTAGGTGACAGACAGGGCAGCAGTCAGATTGTTCACTCCAACTTGAAAGCCTGATATTTCCAATCCGGACATCAGAAGTAAAGAAGCGTTTTGGATGAGAGATGATTTGCTTAAATTATTTTACCTACAATTCCCCCCTCCCCCCACTTTTTATGACATGCTTAAAATGTGTCTAATGTTTTCAGACGATGTTCCAGTATGTAGTGAGCCTGATGAGGCAGGGATATCAGGATGAGAGCGCCCGGCAGCGCAACCTGGCAGCGTCCCCAAAGGACAGACCGGACAAGAAGAACACAGCTCTATGAAATGATCCGTCTCTAAACAATACAGACTGATTTTGCCAACACAGCACATAAATGTCTATATACACTTTTTTTTTTAGCTGTCTTTTTTTTTTCTACACTGCCCATGTCCAGTCATCATCTGCCATTTTAACAGAAAGAACTGAAATCATTGACATTTTTAACAAAAAAAAAGCAACTTTATTTATGACCTTAAATTTTGATGCCAGGGACAATACAAACCCTTTTTGATTGGTACAGCATCACCTGGCCATGTAAATGGAAAAGGGGATCACTTGTTTTACTAAAAATGAAACCTAAACATAAATTACGCTGAGCAATCACAAATTGATTCAACTATTTCTGGGTGACTTTCAGATGCTCAAAAAACAAACGCTTGCCTTTCCTTTTTCTAAATTAAAAAGCCAACCCTGCACAACATAAATAAGGATTGACAAGCAAAAATCAGAGCCTGCTAAGAATTGGGCTCTGTGGGGTTGGCCCAGGGGAAGCAGGATTCAATAAATGGTGACATGCTCCATGTTGTACAAGAAAATGAAAATCCTCAGGTCTTGTTCTTAATCACCGAATGGCACTGAAAAGCCAGGGGATAAAGCATCACCATGTAAACAACGGCATCTTATGTACATAGTCACCAGGAGTAGGATTCTGATTCTGAGTGGAGTTGGAGATCACATCATCACAAGGAGCTTCCCTCTTCCTTCCCCTCAACCTGTAATGGACAGCTCAGATATCCGCCGTTTTCATTAAGAGTCCATCGCTCATTGTGTGGCTTTGGTTTTCTTGCTCTTGCTTTTCTTATCTTTCTTCTTAAGACCATCTATGTGAGCTCTTAGAAGATTGGAGTATGCCTAGAAAGGACGATGCAGATGCAGATGGGTGAATAATTAAAGATGTACTGTTAAAACAAAGGACTGGGTCTGCTATCAAAAAACAAGATGAGCTCGACGTACCATCTGAAACTTGATTACTTCTTTGGTGCTGACCTAAAATTTGAGGAAGATATGGTTCACTGATAGATCATGCAGCAAAATATTAAGAAAACAACTGAAAAATGGGTTCAAAAAAGTAGCTCACCACTGTGCTAATTTTCTTCTTGCCATCAGATGCTCTGATGAGACACTTGTTATCAGCAGGTTCAAATGATTCCGGATGCCCTTTTTTGGGAACCGGTTTAGTTCTGCCATCGTCTAAAAGAATAAAGAAAAATCAAATCTGGTTCTTAGAGGTTAAACGTTGCAAATTAAACATACATGTTTGTGATTTAGGTAACAGAATAACTTACACTTCTTTAGTGTGATGGCAACACTTCCTGATGTCCGACACTTCTGGAAGAGCCGAGTGAGCTCTGTGAGAAACTAATGAGAAAACAGTTTCAGGTTTTCCCTTTAATCTGTACACTTTACAAAGTCAGGTGAGAAGAAGAAAGATGTTGGTCATTTTGTTCATTGTAAGTTTGGTGATAGCATAACCGACTTTCAGGTTTGAGAAGGAATCGTCATCCATGGCGTGTATGTGTTTTTTTTTTAGATGACTTTTAATAGCCTATTCAAAATAAACTGTAAGGAGAAACAATTAAGAAACTCAAATAAACATTATCTACTGAGACAGATGTGGTTCATGCAGAATTATTTTGACTGGAACATGGCACCATGAATCAATGTCAACATGGTGCAATTTAGGGTTAAATAATTGTGTTCTATTATATTTGAGTATTTCGTTATGATTTAGTTCCTGATTCATGATGACACCTGCAACATACTGTTTATTCATTTTGGATCGTTTTTTATCTATTATACCTTAGACACTGGACAAATGCCCAAAGCAGTTTGTTTTAAAGAAAGACAGGAAGCTGAAGTTGCCCTCATACAAAAGCTTGATTGGGAAAACAGCTAAAAGGAGAAGCCACTTCATTTTCCATCTTAAATGTGTTCTAGTTTAAAAGTTACAATATTTTAACTCTTCAAACCTGGACTAGATTTTTACATTAAGAAAGAAAGGCCTCAGAAAAGTCTTGACAACTATTTTTATCCAAGGACTTAATGAAAGTTATCATTCAAGTAATTTGCTAGCGCTAAACAGGTTGCAATACTGACAAACGATACATCGAGACGCTTCATAGAAACTCACTTCGTTTTCATTCGATACAACTTAATAGAGAAAGTGAAAAGATATTTATATTTAGAAAAAAATACGTCGGGGCATTTCTTGAGACATACGTGGAGACGTCGAATATACTACAGTGTGGGTTATATCACACATAAATTCTGGAATACGGCTTTTACAATGCAAACATGACGTTATTTAAAGTCTCCACCAGTTCACTCAATCGTTAGCAGGCTGGCTAACATCACTAGCTTCGGAATCTTGAGCCAACAAACAGCTAAAAGAAGACAGTATTTATGTACGGGAGTGAATTCATACGAACAGTGAAACACATTTTAGATCACCTCTTTGATATTCTTACCGAATCATTCTCGAGTAACACCATAATTTCGGCTTCTTCTCCGCTGTGAAGCTTGCTCTCTCACTGTGAGGAGGCACACGTACTACAAGCTTGAAGCTCCGCCCTGCGCCATTTCTTCAATGTCCCACCACATCACAACACTGCCACCTACTGACCTGGAGTCCTTCCTGATGCACATGCAGTGAATCCTTATCTTTTTAAAAAATAGTGATTACAACAAAACGTTGTTTCTACTCTTTTTTTTTTTTTACATACTTTATAAAAGATTAACATACCTTTCTTTTTTTTACTACTCAAAGCAGTAATCTTTGAAAAATGTTTTATTCCCCAGACTTGTTAAATGGGTCTTTTCTGACATTTTCTTGAATATTTATGTTAAACACACCTCCTAGAGGCATCGCTTCAATATCTATCCATACAAAAGATGCTGTCAGGGAATAATTTCATAGTTTCTATGTTGAGGAAATCAATAAATCATACAGCAATACTGAGAAAAATATTTTAAAAGATTTCACAGTAGATACAGCTGAACCAGTCTTGACTACAGTATATGTTTGTGTTCTGCAGGAATAGTTTTTTTTTTTTCCAACAAAAGAGAAAAGTTATCACAATGTGCATATTTTCAACCTTTAAAATATTATTGTGTTGTGTTTCTCTATAATTTCTGTTCAAAGGTAATTATGAACAATAACGCAAAATCTTATGTAATGATAAGCAAAAGCTGCAAAGACATCATTCTCATAGCTGTAGCTGCATCTATGAAGTTGTCTTCTCAAATCTACTTGAGTTCAGGCTTAAATTCTGGCATTACTGTTTGATTTTTTGCGAATGTTAACAGCAATCACACAGTAATGAGATCTAACGGCTATGATAAAGCGCCATCTATGCTGACAAACAGTTAACTAATAACTTAGAATCTAGCGGCTGAATTAGACTGAATGTGACATATTATTTTTATATATTGAGAAGTAAAGAAGGAATGCAGGTAAACATACATAGAAATCAATAAGGAAGTACTCCAACTTCTAACTAAAGCATCAGAGAAACTTTGTAAAATTATATGAAATGCTGATACAGAAAATAAAACAATGCAAAGCAACAGTTATGACGGAAATGTTGCAATAAAAACTAAATCAAGTATTTGTAGTTGTTTGATATAAACATCAGTCATCTTGGTGATAGAGCACAGTCTGGGTTGTGTCCTAGATCCCGGAGGTGGACAGTGAATTCTGAATGCCAGTCTCTGTTGAATACGTCCTTCAGCTGGTGGTACAGGGTCTTATTGTTCAATGCAGAGTGAGGAGTACTCTGGGAAATGACCAGACTCACTCCAGCTGTGGTCAGAAAGTAGTCACCCACCCAGTTGGAGGTACCTGTGTTGGAAAATAGTGATATTCGGTCAATTATTAACACAATATTTAAAAAGCCCCCACTTATTACTATAAACTCATCGATTGACATTAATATTAACTCACCTACGTATGCAACTTTATCAGTCACCATATACTTATTATGATTGACTCTGGTGTATGGAATATCAGACTGATTTCCCACAGGGACGATATACAGTTTCTGAAACAACAACAATAAAAACAGATGGCTTTTAGGAGAACTTTCCAGCATTGTGAAAAAGTATCTCCTCCCAAGAAAATACAAAATGCTATTTTAAACAATGATTAAATTTATTCAGATAAAAAAACTACCCAAACCAAACTGTCCCTATAAATCTAATAACTGGCATTGCCAAAGAAATTTCTCTCTCTCTCTCTTTTGCAGAATTACTTTAATTCAGCCACATTGGAGGACTTTTCAGCATGAACCACAACATGTTCAAGCCCAGGCCACAGCATATTGATTTTATTAAAATCTTTTGTTTTTACTAGGCCTTTCCAAAACCAACATATAACCCTTCACCCCCCAAAAAACACAGACTACCATTGTTGTGGGTTAACAATGCCTCTCACTGCAATAATTTGAAAAACACTGGTGTTAAAATATCTGTGATTATCCAAAGCATAAGGGGGGAAAGCAACAACTAAAGAAATTTATTAGGGGACAGTACAATTTTACAGCACAATCACACATGTATAAAACAGATACATTGTCTTCATATTGGCTCACTATTTGGATGCTGATGTGATGGAGAGGGTAATCCATTGAAGCCAAAGACTGAAGAAAGGGCAACATGGCTGGATCAGAATCACGCCCACAGCTGATCAACATCCTGATCTTCACTTTCCTGTCAAACACAGCCATCTTAATGGCATTATCAATGAGCGGCCAGAATCTGGAAGGACAACAGAGTGAGGAACTCAAACAAAACCAGAACATTTTAAATGTTAAAACAAGGTCTTGGGCTTACTTGTGAGGCTTTTCAAAACCAGTGGTGGGGAAATACTCCATGACAGCAATATCTACAAATTTGTCAGCCTCTGAGATGGAGGACAGTATCGCCTCCAGGTCCTGAGTCCTTGATGGAGGACAAAAGGATGGAGGAGAACCCTGGGACAGTACACAAAATCAAAATGACATCAGATTTACCCCACTCTCTCTTTGGTTTTAGTGGTTGAAACCAAACTGAACCACAGTGTTGTACAACCCACATTGGGTTGTACAACCTACACTGGGTTGTACAACACTGAAAATTCACAACTCAGGGTGAGGGGGGAAGAAAAGCCACTCACAGCAATGTAAAGGCTGCTGGAGATGTTACCCTCTTTTACCAGCAGAGGGTGCTGTTTGTTGATGTCAGTGGAATAATTTGCAGGCCAAGGTTTTGGCAGGGAGCTGTTGGGTTGCCCCATTACCCAGTAGGACTGGAAGATCTTATGAAGGTCCATTGCAAGACTGGAACAATTACAGACCACCACTCCCAGTTCCTTTACCTGCAGTCAAAGTAGGAATTTATTTTGAAAGCAATTTAAATAGGAAGAATGTAAACTTAAGAATTATTGGCATGTGTAGTTTTACCTGGGTCAGAGCCCTCCAGTCCATGTTGGCACTTCCAATGAACACATGCTTCATGTCAACAATCCAGAACTTGGTGTGGAGGACGCCTGCTGTCAGACGACCAAACTCTACTCTTCTCACCTGAACTCCTGCAGACAAAAGTCACCAAAACAATATAATCAGCAATTACTGTGAGAATTTAAAAGAAAAGAGTAACTATCAGACCTTTCTGTTTTAGGATCTTTAGATCTGTGGAGTTTGTTTTGACTGTGGGAACACTGGTCAACACGCGGACAGATATGTTCCTGGAGGGAAGTTCCCCAAGCGCTTGTAGGAGGTCCCTTCCCTGTTTTCCACAAAACATTCAACAAAGGCTCAGACATTTTGCTTACATTCAGACAAATGTAAGCAATTTCTGAGTTAGGAACTCACAGGAATATCAGTGGAGGAGTTGACGTTGATGTCCTCCCCTGTTAACGTCCAGTAGAATGAGACTATATTCACGCTCTGTGAGGCTTGGGAGATAAGGTCTTTCCAGACTTGTTCCAGAGGGATCCCAAAAGTTGCATTACTTTTATATTTTAGATATAGAGGAATACTTTCCACAAGGGTCATGCTACAGGGTAAAGCAGATTACATATTAATAAAAATAATTATAATCCCATATAAAATATTTGTAACAGTTGAGCTTTTTCTTTGTGATAGACAGACACAAAGCACTGCATAGTTGGAAAGTGAAAAAAGGTGCCTTAAACATCTGAATGACGTGGCCAAATTTGTTTAAGACACGCTTAGGCTCACTAAACGTCCTTCTCACTACTCATAAGGTTTTGTCATGTTGGCAGCTTTCTTAAGGCCTGAGATTGCTTTGCAAATAACTTTTATGTTATTGCAGTAAAAATTCTTGTTAAGAAGAATTTTCAACACTGCATATTACCATGAAAGCACCATCCAATCGGTAAAGCCTGGTGCTGGTGGTATCATGTGAGAAAGTTGCAGAGATCAACAGCCCAGATGGGAAAATCTTCTGGCAGAAAAACCATTATCAGTCCACACATCCACTGTCTACACTCATGCAGGATAAGCATTAAGAAAACTAAAGAGTTGTCTCATTTAAAGTTTTAAATGAACATGCTGAAGGTCGTCTGATCAGATGAAGTCAAAATTAAACTTTTGAGTTACATGCTAAACACTACACATCACTAACAACATAATTCCCACAGTGAATCCTGGCAGGGGCTGAATCATGCTGTGGAAATATTTTTTCTTCCCCAGAGACAGGGAAGTTGGTTAGTCCTTCAACATTAGCTACCCTGGATTGGTTTGAGTCAAAATAAATTAATTTGTCAGAATGACCCAGCAAAATTTGATCAATGTGGAAAGAAAAATGGAAAGCTTTTCCAGTGTCTAGATCTTGAAATCTGGTTTCACAAAATATTGACTCAGGAGGGCTTAATATAAATGTATGCCACACTTTTGAGACTAAAACTGTCAAAATTTGAAAATCACTTTCCTTCTATTTCACAATTATGCTCCATTTTTGTTCCACATAAAGTGGAATACATTCATAAAAACCTGTTCAAATAGTATAGAATTATTACCTGCACTGGTCAGTGAGGTTCATCCCACCAGTGTCCTCAGGAAGAGTGTCATGGTTTTTAGGAGGTGTTGGTCTCTCCAACACAGCGATGGCAAGAATAACACCGAGCACAGTCAAACAGCCCAAAAGCACAGCCAATGTCACACAGCTGGTCCTCCTCTGACAAGATTAGCAGAAAGATTTTTTTAGTAAAGAAAACATTGATCTCACACAGAGAAATACATCTAGTGAGCCAACCTACGCCTTTGTTTGAATCATAGTTGTCATGAAGGCTTCTGTACGCTGAGGTCATCTTTCCTTTGGGTTTTTCAAAAGAAAAGAAGTACTGTTTTTTTTTTCTAGCTTTAAACTCAATGTTTAACCTAAAACAAGTTTTATCTACAGTAATGCTAAAGAACAAACTCACTGGTTAACAAACCCAGCTTGCTTTTTTCCACTTTTTTCTTCCCCTTCAGCTTGCAGCCACAGCTGAACTAAATATCTCTGCTGTTTAATATAACCGAACACACTTCCTGTTTTTACTTTCATTTCAGCTTTTCATACATTTGTTTGGCTCAGGGAACAAAAAAAAAATACACAAAGGAAAAAAAAATACCAGACAGGTTTGTTGATTAAATTTATTTGAAATAACAGAAAATTATTAAATAACTTATACAAAGAATAGCACATCAAAAAGTACCAGTAAATTACAATCAAATCATCTATGATGGGAAAAAGAAACTCAATTTGACACAAGATTCACTTTCTCTTAAACACTTGAGGGCAGGGGGCACGAAAACAAGACATGGACTCTTCTCCATAAAGAAGAAGCAGCAGCAGATTTAGAAACAGAAACCCAACAGTAAATGCTTTTTTTGTTTGAATTTGTAAACAACTCTTCTACTGGCTGCATCAAATCTGAGCCCACACAGCTGTACAGCACTCTAGTTTTTTTCCCAGTTACAGTCAGTGACACATAGTGCGTTGAGGAAAACATACATTTTTCTTAAAATGTGTAAAATAGTAAAGGGGAGGGAAAACATTCTACATTGGTGCAAAATGGCAAGATTGAGAGGTAATTTGTGGGACATACAAATATGTTCAGACATCTAAACACTCAGCTTAATCATGGCTTACAGTTATGTAGAAATTTTTCAACATGAATGCTAAAATTGCTCAATGGTGAACTAAACAGACATGGGCGGGATAATTATCTTACCGCAGTCAGACAGAAAGTTTGATTTAGACAAACAAGAAGTTACAGTTTTTTTATATAATCTTTGGCCAAATCAGTTTTTGAGAGTGAAAAAATTTTAAGTTTCAATGCCGCCTTTTTTTCTTAAAGCTGGAATGTTTAAAAAACAGGCTGCTTCTATAATCACCACTTTCTTTGTTCAGTGAGGTGGTTTCACTGCAGTGGAGTTAGCTCCTCCTCCCATTCAGATTGCACATTCCTGATAGATTTCCACCCAAGGTTGCAAGAAATAGCTTTAAGCTCCCGAATAAAGAGAAGATGACCAAAGAAAAAAAAAAAAAACACACCTTGTTGTCTCCAAGCAGCTGTGTAAAACAACATTCAACAGTCTGGCACAGGACGCTGCCAAGCCTCTCCAAAATTCAAATAACACAATTTATAAATAGCTTTTATAATCCTAAACAAATGTAGTCTAAGAAAAGGAATGTGGCACAAAAACACTGGGAAAAAATAGATAAAAAAAGAAATGTAATGCAGTTCTGATAACACCAATACAATAATATCTGAAAGTTTTATTCAAAAAATATAATTTGCAGCTAAACATAAATACATAAATTTCCCTGAGATGATTATACTCAGGCTGATTCTCTATTAAACTACATAGTTACATGTTTTTCTAAAATCATATGTATATTAAGTTATTTTATTGGCAAATAGAGAGAGCAGTCTGTAACACAAAATCAAGTATGACGATACGAGGTGACTTTCTGAAATGTCACGGTACTTCCTCAAATCACCACCTCATGTGGATCCTCCTAAAAAAAACTACACTTCAAAACATTGTGAGCTCACCACAACTTTATAAATCCACTCTCACTTCCTCTCAGTCAGGTTTCGCTTGCACACAGCTGCTTCTGAAAAGATGCAGCAGAAGTTGGTTAACGTGTGTTCCTGTAGTTGGCAGACTTCAGACTAAATATCCCTGTCGCAGGTCATCTGGGGTCACAGCAGCCCTCCTGACACTCTCACTGGGCCTCGGCCCGCCGCCTCGTTTGGAGACGCAGTGGACCGTCCTCCAGTCCCGTGAGGACAAAGCTTTGGATGGCTGAACTTCAGCGGGAGAAGAGGAGGCAGCATCAGTAGCAGGGGGTGTCTTGGTAGCTTCATGTCTTCCACTGGGGTCCACGACTGCGTTAATAACTGAAATAAGAAAAAAGAAAAGAATACAATTTTAATCTTTGTACTAAAAATTTTTAAGATTTAAGAAAAGAGATTGAGACACTCACTCTCAAGTTGGACCTGAACCCTCCTAAGTTCTTTCAAAATACACGCCATTTCCTGAAAAACAGACATCTGACTAAGCTCAAGCGAACACTTTGAACCAACAAATATGAGCAAGACTGGAAATGAAAAATAATAATACTAACCTTGTTGGAAATTCTGCCAACAGTAATGTCAGAGTCGGAATTAATTTGAGCCTCAATGTCCTCAGAGATATCCAATCTGTCCTGGAACAGAACCCTAAATATGATGATAAAGAACAACAGTCAAAAAGCTGCTGTTTAGGGTTATTCTGAATTTATGTGACCAAAATAGTATTGGCAAAATCTGTATTGTGTTACAGGCTCAGAAATAAACTATAGTTTGCTCGCCATTACATTTAAATTATGACATGTTATGGAAAATATTCATTGCCAGCCTCTGCTCCAAACTCAACAGCTTCAACTTTGGAAGAAATCTGCTGCTGCTAAATCCCCTCCAGAGAAACATCTTATGGTTAGATGAAACAAATGTTGAGCCATTTGGCCAAAAATAGTACTTGAGGACCAAGGAGTTTTCAAACCTAAGATAATTGTGTCAATTGGCATAGAACCGTGATGGTAGCATCATGCTAAGGGTATGTTTGACTGCTAGAGGCGATGGTGTATTGCAAAAAAAATGAGGGGAAAAAATAATGAAAACAGAACTCGTTTAAATTCTCATACTTCACCACAGAGCAACAGATAAATGGTAGAAACTTTAGTCCCAACCACATGAAACAAGAAAAAAAGTGGCTAAGCTATGACTTCAACACAATTTAAACATGGCCTATGTTTAAAAGCATGATTAGAAATTTGCTGATGGCTGAAAAACATGCAGCTAAGAGAGAAATAGAAGAGCAAATAAAAGCAAGTTTTTAATTAACTCTGCATTGCATTATTAATTGATGGTTGTATATTGTTCTACCATACAAAAAAAGAATCACTTATGTACACCCTTGAGGTTCTAAAATTAAAAAGGCATTCATGCCTAATAAGTGTAAGCAGAGTTTTCAAATTTGCTATGTAACAGGAAGATCATTTCTCTCTTATCCAAGTACTTCGTAGCCCAAGTATCTCATTTTATTTACGCAAGATTCGATATTCAATGCAAACACTAAGTTCAAGTCAGATTAAGCATGCAGGGAGTCTTTTCTTCAGATCTTACTTGATCTTCTCAGCGAGTTGCTCTGTGTTTTCTCTGATGGCTGCTGTGACTTGATACACAGGATTCAATGACAAGCTGTCCAAATTGAGCTACAGAGAAGGAAAGATACAGTCATGACAGAGCAAAAGGCTTAAAAAAACCACCCAAGATGAAAGGCAGCTCATCATTATATCAAACCTCTTTTCTGTTTTGAGCTGATTGTCTGGAGCTCTGTTCAAGGTCGCCTAATCCCCGGTCAGAGTCTCTGTTTGGTGCAGAACTTTTTTGGTGGCTTACTTCAGGCTCTGAGACATAAGGGACCTTCTGGAGAGCAATAAGGGTTTGTAAGCAAGTCTCACTGGTAAGACAAATCAATAGACTAAACCCAAAGTCCATTGAGAAGCAGTGATTCAGTTCAGAGTTATGCAACTACACCAGATGTTATGGATGTAACGATCAATCCAAAAAGTTGAAAGTCAGTGTGCTGTACATGTGATGTACCTGTTTATTGCTCTCCACTTCAGATGCTTGTGCTTCACCTTCACCTGCTACATCATGGATCTCTCTGGCTAAAATAGCCAAGTCTTTGGCCAAGTCTTGACTCAACCTTACATTTCAAAAGAAAAAGCAAATAAATCATGTCATGAAATAAGTGGGGATAAGTTTATGGTGTTTTTGAAGTAAAGTTGACCTTATAGTCAAAAGAAAAGATAAAATGTCTGAGATGAAGCTGTTATCTGCTCAGCAGCCAAAGCAATTGTACCGTTTTTTTAATGTTCTCAACCCATTTTGTGAAAGTGTAAGACAGTCTGTAGTACAGCTCGATTTACGTCTCTTTGGCTCCTTATTAAAAATATGGAAATATTTATTTTACCGTAAAAGTAAACTGCTCTGCTGCCAAGGCCAAATAGTTCATGTAAATGTAGGTGTTTCACATCAAACCAGAGTATAGTTAAATGTCTAGGCACATTTAGGTCCGCTACAGATTTACAAAATATGCTTACAGTTGAGCTACATTTTGAAAAAAAAATACAAATAATGATAATAATATCGTTCAATGTGTGAATCCCTGCATTTTTCTTCAGCTTTATCAAGCATAAGTTTAGTTTTAAAGAATTAAAAAACACATTTCTGTTTGGTTTAAAGTTGCAAGTTTTGGGTTTGCTATATTTCTTACCGAGCAATCTCAGCACTGTGATTGGTCCAATTATGGAAAGCTTCTCCTTCATGGCTCTCCTCCTCTGAGTTTCTGCTGTGGGGTTTCGGGTGCTGGGCGACCACTGGTTGGGGTCGAGTCTGACTGCGTGGACCATGAGAAGCTGAGGAAGGTTGGGAGCGTTTGTGTTTAAGATTGCTCCAGTTTGATTCATATTCTTCATCTGAGGTAGAGGTATAGTCAGAGCCCTTGTGTCGCCTCCGAGAGCCTTGCCGTTGTGAGTTGGTTAGAGTTATCCAAAACAAGGACAGAGAAGTGGGGAAAAGGAGAGAAACGAGAGTGCAATGAAGGAATGCCTTTGGAAAACACACCACCATGTCTTTCAGAGAGGAGCCACCAAAATATTTCCCAGAGCAAGAGAAAGAAAAGATGCTGCAGAAGTCCTCATCTCCACATCTACTAATTTAGTGACTTTCTAAGGTGCCCAAATTGTGTGTAACCAAAAACTTCCCCAGTTGCTGAAAACCCATCTGTGAAAACGCTTACATATCCCAAGAAACCTTTAATTCAATATAGTTCAATACAAGAATGGCAACATAGCTGAAATGCTTGAACAACTGTATGCATTAATTTTACGCAACACTATATAATAACCCAGAGCAGATA